TACGCCCAAGCATCTAGTGGAGCTCTATCAACAGTCATTCAAGAATAAATAGACAAGGTTGAGACAAATTTTGCCTTTGATGATGATGACCTCCTTGATGAGCCTAACAACTCAACCCATTTGGAAGTTGACGATTTTCTAGAAGAAAAACATTGAGTACTTTCAATGTTTCTGGCATCGCACTATTTTTCCTTTACTTGATTGGACTTTGTTTATTTCAGTATTATGTTTTAAATTATTTACTTTATGGATCATGTTATTATCATTGTCTATGCTTTGAACTTATCATTTTGTTTTTGCTGTGGTTAGAATAATTTACTTGGACCTTCAATTTGATGTGAACATTATATTTGACAAATTTATTCATTGTGGACACTTTATTAACATGATTCTTTTATTATTGATTTAGATAATTTTAATTTATAGTGAAAATGGACATAAATGTTGTCCAAATTACTATGAATGGTAAAGAGTTGTGCCTTGCTGATAGTGCTACTACGCATACAATATTTAGAAATATTCACTATTTTTCTGAGTTTAAAATGCAAAAGACAAATGTTAACACCATTATTGGTGCTAATAAATTAATAGATGACGCATTTTCTGAGTCAATCTAGTGTTGCCTAGAGGTACAAAATTCCAAATTGATGACGCATTATATTCCCCCAAATCTAAAAGGAATTTACTAAGTTTTAAGGATATCGTCCGAAATGGATATCATATTGAAACAACCAAAGAAGGAGATACTGAATATCTCTACATAAGCGATAAGACTTCGAGTATTAAAAGGGTGTTGGAAAAACTACCCGCATTTTCATTTGGATTGTAGTACACCAAAAATAATATAATTGAATCGTACATGATCATAAACCAGAAGTTTACGAATCATGATAAGTTTATTATTTGGCATGACCGATTAGATCATCTCGAATCAACAATGATGCAAAGAATTAATAATAACTCATGTGGACAATCAATCACTAAAGAATTAGACGATTTTTCAAAGCAATGAGTTATTTTGTGTTGCTTGCTCTCAAGGAAAATTAATTACTAGACCCTCACTGGCTAAAATTAGAACATAATCACTTTCCTTTTTAGAACGTATTCAAGGTGATGTATTATCGACTTGCAACCTAGCGTTTGCGAGATTACTAGCTCAATTAATTAGATTAAGAGCGCATTTTCCTGATTATCCAATTAAAACTATTCGCCTTAATAATGTCGGCCGGTGAGTTCACCTCCAAGCTTTTAATGATTATTGTATGTCCATCGGGATAGGAGTAAAACATCTTGTATCACATGTTTATACTCAAAATGGTCTCGCAGAGTCATTAATTAAACGACTCTAGCTTATTGCAAGACCATTACTTATGAGACGTAAACTCCCTACTTCAGCTTGGGTAGTGGTGGACTCGGGCCGGGCCAACCGGCCCGGAATCGGACCGGCCCGCTACTGTGCGGGCCCGGACCGGCCCGGTTCGTTGGTTAGGTCACGGTTCGGGCCACCCGGCCCGGTCATGTAGCGGTTCGGGCCCGGGCTTATAAGTTGGTGAACCGGCCCGGTCCGGGCCTCAACGGTCACAAAAAAAAAAAATTTAAAAAAATTTGAAGGCTCTACTAGCCGTTGGGAGACCTCCCAAACGGCTCTATAGCCGTTGGGAGCATAGGAGGGGGGGTCTGGGGGGTTAGGGGGGGTGGGGGTGGGGGTGGGGTATACAAAAAAAACCTATTTATACTCCTATTTTCTATACATTTTTTACACCTACAACTCTTTCTACTCTCTAAAATCTAAATTCTCTATTCTCTTAATCTCTCATATTCAATCATCTTCATTCTTCATCTTCTCCAAATTCTTTCTACATATATATAATTTATATAATTATTATATCTACTTATATATTATAATATTAATTATCTACTTATAAATATATACTTATACACATTCATATTATACACACTCATATTAGGAAATGCTTTGGAGGTAGTGAAGGGGGGAATTAAATTGATTTGGGCTAACACTCCACTAAAAATGCAATGGCGGCAATATTTGAAGGATAGACGCGTGAATTATTGTGCTTTTCCTAAAGATTTGTCTATTCGTTGGAATAGTACTTATAATTTAATTCAAGTACTTGTTAGATATAAAGATCATTTTCCAGCTTTTTTAAGACAAACTTGTAACTATATTATAAACCCGGCTGACATCGACACTTGTGAAAAAATTGTTAATGTTTTGGCATATTTTAATAACGCAACTCTAACTTTTAGTCATGTTTATAAACCTACCGCAAACGAATTTTTTGTTGAAGCTGTTAATCTCGCCGGCGCTTTTTGTGAATTTTCCGACGTCGCTTACGTTAGTTATTTTTGTGATTTCATGAAACAAAAGTTTTTAAAATATTATTCACATATTCCGCATATATATGGTATTGCATTTGTTCTTGATCCTCGTTATAAACTTCCTTACTTGGCAAATTGTATAGATTACTATTATGCTTCTTTTTTTCCAACTCAAGAGTTCGATGATAATCCCATCGACCCTAAACAAGAATTCAACGAGGTTAGTAATTTATTTCATCAATTGTATAATGAATTTCATGCACAATATGGTAATGCACCCCCTCCCATGCAACGAACATCTTCTTCATCTAAAGGAAAATCACTTTTAAAATCCGCTTTTGGTTCTCTTTCTAACATTGAATGTTGATTATGAAGTTGGTGATGACTTTGACGTTCTTAAGTGGTGGAAGGAAAATGAAAGAACATTCCCGATTTTATCAAAGATGACTAAGCAAGTACTAGCAATGCCGATATCAACCGTTGCCGTGGAACAAGAGTTCAGTGCGGCCGGCAACGTCCTAACCGATTTTAGAACGAGGTTGAGCCCGAGCTCTCTTGAGACACTAGTTTGCTTTCACGATTGGTTGAAGGCCCAACGAAGAACTCAAGAAATTACCATCACTCCCTCCCGCCACTTTATGGAGGAAACAACCGAAGGCGGAGAGTCCGATTGATTTTTTATTACAAAATGTATTACATTTTTTAAATTCATCCTAATTCTCAATTGTACTTCTTATTTGAAATAAATATACTTCAATTCGAATATAATATATTGTAATTGTAATAAGATTTATTCTAATTATATAATAATTAAAAAAAAATTTAAATAGGCCCGGCCCGGCCCGGCGGGCGGCCCGGCCCGTGAACCGGGCGGGCGACCCGACCCGAACCGGACCCGGGGTTATCCGGGCCAGTTCCGGGCCTGCCTTCCTAGAACCGAGGCCCGCCCGGGCCCAGGCCCGAACCGGGCCCGAACCGGCCCGAGTCCATTCCTAAGCTTGGGGGCATGCAATTTTACATGCAGCAACACTAATTCGCATCAGGCCAACAATTTATTGTGAATCATCTCTCCTACGATTGGTTTTGGGTAATGAACCAAATATTTCTCAAATAAAATCATTTGGATGTGCCATAGACGTAACTATTGCTCCACCACAACGTACTAAGATTGGACCCCAAAGAAAGTTGGGAATATATGTTGGCTATGAATCTCTTTCCATAATAAGATGTTTAGAGCCATCAATGGGGGATTTATTTACATCTAGATTTGCTTATTGTCATTTTAATGAATCAAATTTCCCAACATTAGGGGGAGAAAGAATTATGTTGGATTGTACCATTATTATTACATCTTGATCCTCGTACTAAAGAATGTGAAATTGAAGTCCAAAACATTATACATTTACAAGGTTTAGCGAATTAATTGCCAAATGCTTGTACTGATACTAAAGGAGTGACAAAGTCACTGGTACTAGCTGCCAATGCTCCCATTAGACTAAATGTCCTAGCAGGACATGTCGTTGCAAATGAATCAAAAACATGCATGAAGCGTGGAAGACCAATCGGTTCCAAAGACAAAAGCCCTCGAAAAAGAAAGGGAGCAAAGAATGAAACTGACCAAAAAGAAGATAAAATAAACTGAAGAGTAGATTCTCCTGAAGAGAACATTGACATGACTATAAATCCAGAAAAAGATGAGGTCCATGAAAGTGAAGAGATCTCAATAAATTATGTCGCGTCAGGAATTGTTTGGAACCGACATGAAATCGACGTTGATGATGATGAAGAAAATGATACTTGTGCATATCATATAGCGCTAGATATAATGAATGAAAATGAGGATCATGAACCAAGAACAATGCAAGAATGTAGGTGCAGAGATGATTGGCCAAAATGGAAGGATGCAATTGAGGCTGAATTACAATCGCTCGAAAAGAGCAAATTTTTTGGACCCGAGAACAATGCAAGAATGTAGACGCAGAGATGATTGGCCAAAATGGAAAGATGCAATTGAGGCTGATTAAAACACCAGAAGATGTTAAACCAGTGGGTTATAAATGGGTTTCAACATCCAAACTAAATTCAGACTCATTACTGTATGCAATTAATGTATTTCTATAGTTATTGCTTTAGAAAGCCCCAAAGTACAACACATATTATGAGATGATAATGATATCACTAAAGTCATCATGCAAATAACCTCAAAGATATGTAACATAAAAAAAATTATTTATACACCTCACAATGAACAAGACCATCTTCAAAGCTAGAGCATAACCGTATTCCATCTTTCTATATAAAATGGGGTGTTTATTGAATCAAATTGTAAGTACATGAGGAATGAATAGTATAATACTCTTAGCAGACATATACGAGTACCAATACTCTACCGGGCCAATTTATCATAATATGCCGTTGATGCATGCATTTGTAAAGTAATCTTTTGTTCTGGGTTTACCATTCAGACTTTTTAAGGGATTCATTTTATTTTACTATTGCTACGGAGGGCATTAAATTAAAGCAATGCGCCAGACATAAAATTCAAATTCAGCCAAATCTGAATAAGAGTCCAAAATTGAATTTAGAAAGCTATTTAACACAGGTAAGGTTTACATCAAAGTAATCAATTTCAAAACAATCAGATTGAATCCTGATTCACACAATAAGATTTAATTGTCGAAATATCCCAACCTGGTTCTAACACATGTATGAAATAACAACAATTATGTAACTAAATGAAGAAGAAAGGTGATTACAGATAAGATACAAGCCACACAAAATTGAATCAAACAAGGGAAAAACGAGATATAAACAAAAGATAATATGGGGGGACTCATTATTCCATCAATAGCTAGGTACATCAATTAAATTCGTGAGATTGTTCATATAGCAACTTTGTAAGAAAACAAACTTCATCGTTCCTAACCAGTGGATTGATCAATCATTTAAACTCATTCAGGCAAAAGATTATACGGAATAGTATATATGTTGATGATGAAAATACCTGGATTAAAATCAGATCGATGCGGCTTAATGGTGAAGATGCGGCAATGATTAGCTCTTTGTGAATCGGAATCGATCTGTAACTCCCTGTTGCTGAAATCGGTCGAATCCCTCTGGCGAAGATTGAGTCCCTCCCGCAATGGAAGGAAAAAAAAAGGTTTTGGTGGAGAATGCATGTCGGGGTGTGAATCGCTCGTGTGCAATCCGGTTTTTGTGGGGAGGAGCAGATAGTTGTAGGGTGTAAAGTTTCGTGCTGATAACGTATTAGAATATCAATGATAAACATATACAACATTAGAGGAGAGTGGGGATATATAGGAAGACCGGTATTTTTTGGTACAACAGAAAGAAACGAGCACACCCCATCTTGAAGGCTCCAATATTGATCGGACAATTAATTGAGAGGAAGATACAATGGGACAGGAAGTCAGGAACTGAACTGAGCAGGCCGCTCTAATCACTTCTAGTAACTCGACTTTCTAAATTGGACCAAAGTACGAAAACAAATCAACAAAAGGTTAGGACCAAGTTGTGGGTACTGGGTAGGACTTCTTAGGAGTGATTAAAAAAAATGCTCCTGAGAATAAAACATACTATCAAATGCGAAATCAAATGCGAACAAGTAAATTTTAATATCAAAATATTATTTATTTGATTTTATAAAAAGTATAAAACTTCTTCAAATTAGGATAAGTGATGAATGAAAAATGACATGTATATTACTAACAGAATTTCTTCAGATAAAAATATGAATAGCTATGTTTTGGACAAAAATATAACACATCGAATACGAGTAACGGGACAAGAATCACTATAGTATTTTAGAGTGAGAAGACACTAGTAGATGATGAGTCACTAGAAACTAATTAATGAATATGTCACTTGTTAGAACTTTTTTAAAATAAGTCATACTTTTATCTTTTGAATTTCAAATGAATGTCACTTTCTTGAATTTTTTTAAAGTCATATTTTTACCTTTTGAATTTCATTGGGCAGCATTCATGGAAAGGCCCAAGTGAAAATTATTTTAGAAAGAAAATAATCACATGTGTGCACTTCATGACTCCATCTATATGTACTCAAATCCAAGGAATTCTCTCATTTTTGAATAGCACACACAAGTACTCAACATAAAAAAAGCAGCAAACTCGAAACCTGAACAAACTAACATGACCAAAACTAAAATTGGTATTACCATCAACGGCTCGTTTTACAAACTAAGATGCAGAGCTTAAACTTTTAACCAACTCAAGTACTCAACCATCCCATGCCCATTTCAATCTAACCAAAAGAATTAAGCAATAGCCGACCAAGCCCATAATAACGAACGCCTAATTTTAAGTCTACAATCGAGAATCTAATCAGAGACTGAATTGTAGCATTCAGAAATCAACTACTACTAGATTGCCATTTCGGAACAAGAATTCTTCCATTTGGCAACTCTGACCTGCTTATCAACAAAACAGCTTTTAAAAAATAAACATTTAATTTACTTATTTGGTTGAATCCATCCTACCAGACGCTTTTCCTTTTAGCAAATTGAGCCGTTTAAATCAAATAAACCTCGCCAAACAAGCACTATATCAATTAACACAATCATCATTCTCATAGTTCATTACTCTCAGTCTTATAGTCTGATAATCACATTACCATTTACAGTATAACATATGTTGTCCATGGTTATTCTCTTCCATCTCCGCCCCATCACAAATACAATAATAGAAAGGATTTGTCATAGGAAAAGTACATATATTATTTGCCACTGAAAATAAGGGTGCATCCAATTTTTCTGTTTTGGAATTATGGAACTGTGATAATATGCCCAGACAAGAACCGTTTGAAAGGGAATCAGACTAAGACTATAATCCAAACAAGTCTAATCCGGAAAAGACCAGTCCTGGACCCAACTGGATAATCTTTATTTATATTTTGTTTTTAGTTTTAAAGGACTAGTCATGAAAAATCGTTAACATTATTGGTGCAATGTTTATAATTGTATACTACTCATGTTTTTACTTGGACTGAAATTTGTTGGTCTGGTCTGGTTTGAACTTATGTCTGGTCTCTGGTCTCTGTGTATTTTATAACTATTCAAGTCTGGTCTGGTCTGAATTGATTTAGTCTGGGACTGAAAACAGTCCTAGAAAAAACATCCTACATCTCCAAGTAGTTTAGTACCTCATTATGTGTTAGGAATCTGCCTATTGAGTATTTCAATAGGGTATTTGAAAGGAGAAATAAAAGGGGCTGAGGTCATTTAAGTGGGCTGGGGTCATTTAATGAGCCTGTTTATCTATTTGAGTCCTGGCGTGGACCTACTACTATAAATAATAAGTTGGGTAGCTAATAATAGGTAGACTGTTATTTTGAGAATTGTTGCCTTGTTGCCTAAGTCCCGGTTGCCTAAGAAGTCCCTGTCCCTGTCCCGGAGTTTCCTACGGATTACCCTATCAATAAACTGCAGTTTCTCTACTTTCAGATTAGATCGGTGTTGCTTGTTACTGTTTGTGCTCAGATTATTACCAGGTTCCTATCAATGGTATCAGAGCAATCGCTCCTGGGGATCACAAGTGAAGTGCGACGGCAGTAGCGTTTCTCGTTTCAGCATCGTTGTGAGGAAGCGACTGCAACCTAGTTTTTTTTTCTCTGAAGTGGATGGTAAAAACGAGATCCAAAATGGAACAACGCATGGAAGCCTTTGAGCGGGAGATGAGAGCTACCATCGCGAATCTCACTGTTGCGATGAATGAGCAAATCCAGAACAGCATCGCTACATCCATGGCAGCTTATCAGAACAGGAGGGATCCGTCTAGAGGGAGATCGCGATCACCGCATCACCGTTCCCCTCATCACCGTCGATCACGATCACCACATCACCACCTATCGCGATCACCGCACAGCCCAGAGTACTCGAGAGGTAATTCTGTACACTCTCCCATCCCTACTCGCAGAGTCCATACTGGTCGGAAGGTGGATCTGCCATTGTTTAATGGAGTAGGCGCCTATAACTGGTTAGTAAGAATGGAGCGCTACTTTAGATTGAATAAAACAGAGGAGGAAGACAAGGTTGAGGTTTCAATGGTGGCTATGGATGATAGGGCCTTGAATTGGTTTCAGTGGTGGGAACAACAGGCCGAGGAGATAACCTGGGAAAATCTGAAGGATGCGGTTATCCGTAGGTTCCAACCCGACTTATTGCAGAATCCCTATGGAGCCATGTTGAGCCTGAAACAGACTGGAACTGTGGAGGATTATCGGGATGAGTTTGAGAAGGTAATAGCTACACAGAAGAACATAGACAGGGGTATGCTGAGAGGCATTTTTATCAATGGCCTCAAGGATGAAATCAAGGCTGAACTGAAACTCTTCAATGGCAAATCTCTAGCTGCTACCATGGACAGGGCCCAAGCGATTGAGAAGAAAAATGATGCTATTTACACTAAGGGTAAAACTACAGAGAAACTGGAAGGAAGGGACAAGGGATCCATGAACTATAGACAACCTGTTTGGGGTGAGGGATACAAGCCAAAAGCTGGAAGTTCAGGATCCCAGACTGGTGGTATAAAGAATTCAGGACAGCAAGGCACTCAACCTTGGTTTACTCCCGATGGGAAGAGGGAAACTGAAATAAATTTCCCAGACATAAGAAGAGTAGGGCCACAGCTGACACAAGAAGAATACCAAGATAGAAGCCGGAAGGGACTTTGCTTCAAATGTGGTGAAAGATGGGGAAGAGGGCACTCTTGCAAAATGAAGAATTACAAACTGATTTTAGTGGAGGATTCCGATGGAGAAGAGGAAATAGTTAACCCAGAAGGGGTAATCCCCGAAGAAGAAAAGATCACCATGGAATTTAAGTCCATGCAATTGTCCTTCATGAACCAGGACGGAAAACCCTCTACGAGGGCTTTTAGGGTTCAGGGGATTCTGAAATGGGCTAAGGGAGAGAAGCTAGTGGATGTTCTAATTGATAGTGGGGCCTCACACAACTTCATATCCCAGAAAGTGGTAGAGCAGTTAACCCTCCCTTATCAGACCGTTGCTGGCTACCAAGTGCAGCTTGGGAATGGTGATAGGGTCTTCAACAAGGGCAGGTGTGAAAAACTCATTCTAAGCTTGCGGGGAGCTGTCATTCAACAAGATTTCTACATGCTGGAGTTGGAGGGAGCTGACTTGGTTCTTGGCATGGATTGGTTGACTGGATTAGGGGATGTGGAGATTAACTTTCAGAAGCAGAGCATAAAGTGGCATCATCTGGGGATAAGTCAGTCAATTCAAGGGGATCCTAAGTCAAACTCTATGGAGGTATCTCTGAAGACCACGTCACAAACTGTACAGGAGAATGGTGTGGGCTATCTTATCTACTGGGAAGGCAGAAAATGGGATGGAGAGGGAATTCAGCTGAAGGATTCCAAGTTGGAAGGAATTGAGGGGAAGAGGAAAATTGATTACACAGTTGAAGTTGATATGGGAGTTCGTATAAGGGTTCAAACTGGTTTGTTCCTGGATCCATTTAGAGCTGCAACGCCTCATAGCAGGACTGCCTTAGAACCCTTACATGAAGAGGTTGGTTACAAGGAGGAGGCTTCAAGTGTAATTCCAGGGAATTTTTATACCCAGTTTCTGCCCCTGTTGGCTGTGGAAAATGTGATGATGAAAGTGAAAGAAATGAAGCTCCCAGAGCAGAAAACCAAGAGGTACTGGGAAGGAAGAGGTTCCAGGATGAAGAGGAAGTTCAAGATCAAGGTTGTGTCTTATTACCCACCTTGAGGGCAAGGTGGTTAATTAGGGGGGGAGTAATGTTAGGAATCTGCCTATTGAGTATTTCAATAGGGTATTTGAAAGGAGAAATAAAAGGGGCTGAGGTCATTTAAGTGGGCTGGGGTCATTTAATGAGCCTGTTTATCTATTTGAGTCCTGGCGTGGACCTACTACTATAAATAATAAGTTGGGTAGCTAATAATAGGTAAGACTGTTATTTTGAGAATTGTTGCCTTGTTGCCTAAGTCCCGGTTGCCTAAGAAGTCCCTGTCCCTGTCCCGGAGTTTCCTACGGATTACCCTATCAATAAACTGCAGTTTCTCTACTTTCAGATTAGATCGGTGTTGCTTGTTACTGTTTGTGCTCAGATTATTACCAGGTTCCTATCATTATGTCATTTATTGAAATTGTACACTATTTATCAAATGCACTGTGCATATAAACATTTTTTCTAACTCATATATGAAAAAGAAATTAAAGATAAGGATTTGAACCTACCTAGAACTAGACCGGCCATATGGACCTATAAACATTTTTTTCTAACTCATATATGAAAAAGAAATTAAAGATAAGGATTTGAACCTACATAGAACTAGACCGGCCATATGGACCAGAACTGGACCAGTTTCCAAATTAACTGCACCCAAGTCTGGGAGTAGGAATCAACGAGACCATATCCCACCCTTATCCAAAATAACTGCACCCAAGTCTGAAAGTAGGAACCAGGCAATTTAAAATGAAACCATATCCCACCCGTGTCCAGCCTTATTTGAAAATGTCTGCCATGTTTAGGTGCAGTAGTCATAGATCTTCAAAAAACAAAGAAAAACAGACCAACTTTTTGCAATGGTATAGAAGGCCGTTCAAGTCATCAACTACAAATATAGATCCTGATAACACTTAACCTCCTGCGTAGTTCAAAACTCACAAGCAATACCCCCAAGTAACCACTTCTTTGGACATATTGGTTGGGCTTTTTTTAATACCAAATACAGGGTTTTTTACCAGGCACGTTGAAATGGTATATGATGAAAAATAGCAAGATCGGTGGGAGATACTTTGTTAGCTAAAATTGAATAAAGGAGTGCTGTTTACCAAATATATTTAGCGTCCTTTTTCTAATTTTATTTTATTTTATCAATGAAATGGAGTATGACTTTTTTATAATCCAGCAAATTAGACCGACTAAGCCATTTTCAACAAACACAAACACTTCAACCAATTTAAACCTTACCAAACAGGGTACTAAATACATGAGCGCCAAAAACTCCCAAATATACTACTTTCATTCAATTCCCAACCAGCCAATACCCTTCAGGCGAAAAGTTTCCACCATTAGACTAATTACTAACCAATAAAAGTAAAGATAGCAACTTGCACAGCAAGCAAAGAGTTGAAGAAAATACACAAATAGCAAGGGGCCATGCATGACATTCAGTCCACAGCCCAAACTGATTCAAGAGTCGTCCAACTGATCCTGTGGGTGAACAAAAAATGAAAAGAGAAGCACACCTCACTAATTTGTGATGTAAACAATTGAAAGAATATACTTGTACATAGAGGGAAACTCCAGAGAGAGAGCGATCTGATCACTCATGCCGCGGACTAACCTGAGCATCTGAAGTCCAGAGGGTGAGATTGTCCCGTAGGAGTTGCATTATGAGGGTGCTGTCCTTGTACGACTCCTCTCCCAGCGTATCTAACTCAGCTATTGCTTCCTCAAATGCCTGGACAAAACACCAAGTAAATTCCAACAGACACACATGTTACACATGAATCAATTTCAAAGCCCCCCACCACCACCATAGTCCCTACACCCATACACACAAAGTTGTAGTATAGCATAGAAATTAAATGTCAGGCAAATAAAACTTGGACACCCAATAGTCTTTTTATATAGTATACAGTATGTAGGCATATGGAGAGGAAGCTGCCTAAGTCCACAACAATAATATTAATAATAATACATCTATAATAGAGTGATACAATAGGCTCGAAATAGAAATCATTTACCTGTTTTGCCATGACACATGCCTTGTCTGACGAGTTGAGGATCTCATAGTAGAAAACTGAGAAATTCAAGGCTAGACCAAGCCTTATAGGATGTGTTGAAGAAAGATCAACCAGAGCAATTTCCTTCAATGACGAAACATAAAAACAGCAAGTTTAGAAACAAAACAGATGTCAACAAGATAGCAAAATTGCATAGCAAAGAAATAGTAGAATACTCCACAAAAGAAAGCTAACATGAGGCATATGAACTATGATGCCACTCCATATCATGACCACAAGTTGCTCCAAAAAATGAATCCCTATTTGTTACAATAAATACATAAATTTGTAGATGAATTAACTAATGAGATAAACAAAAAAAAACATAGCTCCACGCTCCTTCCTACTTTTATTTCAGGGAAACACAATTAAAAGGCACCGTGGATTGATTTCTAGTTACAAAATCATTAACCCTAATTCCTTTGGGTGGTCTGTAGAATATATACCAAGTATATGTGGAAACCAACTTTTAATATCCAAACAACATCAGAATCTCAATCCATAAACGTTAGTTGCTCCAATTAGTCACCATTCGCCACACGCCAATGTAAGCATAAGCTTTTAACATAAAAATTGCTTTATAGCACCTACCTTTGGACTCAAATCCAAAGCCTCGAAACAGATCTAATTGACACAACAACTAGGAAAAGCGATCTACAATATAATTATATAACTCACCTAAAGAGCAATCTTAAACACATATAAGCAAAGGATTTACAAGTACTGAGTTGAAAGCCCTAATTTTGTAATTAGATTGAAAAATCATAAACCAGTGGAGCTCGACACAAGAAAATACAAGTAAAATGAAATAAGTCAACCTGAGCAGCCTTGTAAGAGTTCATAGTATCATCAGCGGCCTGCTTCCGCTCGTCCCCAACCTTGAACTCGGCGAGGTAGCGGTGGTAATCGCCCTTCATCTTGAGGTAAAACACCTTCGATTCGCTGGTACTCGCAGAGGGAACAAGGTTGGACTGAAGAAGATTGAGGATCCCGGCACAGACCTGGGAGAGTTCAGCCTCGACCTTGCCTCGGTAGTCCTTAATGAGGGAGACGTGCTCCTCGTTCTTCCGAGACTCCTCCTTCTGCTCGATGGAGGAGACGATGCGCCACGCGGCACGGAGCGAGCCGATGACGTTTTTGTAGGCCACAGAGAGAAGGTTGCGCTCTTCGATTGTCAGTTCGGCGGCTGGAGTCGATCTAAGGACCAACTTGTCCATGAACTGCACCATCTCCTCGTAGCGCTCGGCTTGTTCGGCGAGCTTGGCCATGTACAGGTATTGCTCGCGCGACATGTTTTCTCCGGCGGCGGCCGCCATTTACTGTTTCAGAGAGGGGGAAAACGGCTGGGAGAAAGGGCGAAGACTCCAACAAGAGAAAAAATGACTGGCTGCTCTCTTGACTTGGCCCCGGAGAAGAGTTAATAGAGCCAGATTCAGATTAGCTGTCCGTTACTTTTGGGAACACTAATTGCTTTCCGATGAAGATATGTGTTTGGTAATAATACGACTATCATTTTAAGTAATTGTGAATCAAAAATGATTTTACATCCAAATCTGACATATCTTCACGTGTCACATCTCTAATAATGATGATGAATGAATCAAAATCAACAACGACTAATAATTAATGACGTTTAATAAATTTTAATGACATATTTAATATATTACTCCATCCGTCTCATTTTACGAGTTTTTCTCGGAATAATGCTAATTAAATAAATTATTCTTGAAATATTGTCGGTTTAAAAATAATTCCCGAAATACTGTTGGTTAATTTTAATGACGTTTTGTATTTAATTAATGACATATTAATTTGCTTGTTTTTTGGATTATTTTATTTGTATTTGATGTTATGAAATATATAAGTTATTAATGTTGTTATTATGCTTGAATTTATTTAATTTGTAGGATTTGAATTATTTTTTGTGTTGGTTGGATTGAGTTTAATAGATGCATCCTTTTAGAAAGAGTAATGTATGTATCTGATTTTTTAATGAATGTAATCATAAAAATGATATCCATGATTTAATACAATTTGTTTGAATTAAAATACTTATATTTGAATTTTCAACTTGCGGCTTGAATCATAGTTTTTTTGGAATGATTTTTGATAGAATATGTCACCAAACTTTCCCATTGTTTATCACTGGGGAGGAAATATAATCGAGGAGTCGAACGCAATTCATTATGAAGGGGGAGTCGGAAGATAATTGTTGTGTCCGGTGGGGCGGATGTGACTGAGTTAATGAATAAAATTTATATTGCCACATCAATCAATCGTATGAACAAGTTAGATTTGAAAGTTAAATATCCCATTCATGGTGGATCGTACATGTTGATGTCTCTTGCTGACGACGAAGCCGTTTCGGGGATGTGGACCTTGATCACGAATCTTGCTATGCATACCATGGAGATATATTTTGAAGAAGCAACTATGTTGCCCATACAACCTGACAACCTGTCATTATCTTACCCATCCACAAATTTTCGAGTTGTGACGAATACGGTTGCACAGGAGAATGGAAGATACGTGAACAATGATGCAACGTTTCTGGATTCACAGCACATCGACGACGATGCAGATGGAAATGTGAATCATGACACACTAACAGATTCAGATGAAGATGTTGGTGATCTCGTAAGTGGCAATGCTTCACCCAGCCACTACCTAAAGTTGATGACCTCCCTGCGGGATTTGATGAATCATGGAGGGGTTCTACAACTTCCAGTCGCTTCTCTGCAGATTGTAATGACTAATGACGGATAGTGTACCCGGGGGTAGCTTATCTGAGGGGTTATTGTGGGGAATAACCTATAAAGAGGTCAGAGCAAGGAAGAGAGAGAGAGTGAATATGTATTCAGTATAGGAAGTTGTATTGTATTACAATGAAAAATGGCCGTTATTTATGGTAGCCATAAATGCTAGGCAGGGACACGTGTCAAACATCTGACGGTCGAGGGTCACCTCAATCGGGTGGAACCGGCAATTGTACATGTTTTGCATTAAATGCAGTGGTTGGACGTGACGCCACATTAAATGCGGTGGTTGCCTGTCTCTAAAAGGAATCTTCGTCGAGTCTGTTGTATGCCGAAGGCCTAGGTATGGCCGAAGGCATGGTACAAATACCGAAGGCAACATATAGCCGAAGGCTATATACAGCCGAGGGCGTGGAATAGCCGAAGGCTAACATTTTGCCCAGAAATTCCCAGAAGCTTAGCAAGTCCGTATCTAGTTGTCTTCCAGAATTCAGAGCCTTCGACCATAGAGCTGAAGACATACACATGTGCAATGTGGGCTTCTTCATACCTGGGATGCTACGTTTGGGCTTCGTGTGCTCACTGGGCTTGGTGGGCCTTTGTAGGAGAAGTAGGAGTCTGTGAGCCAGGGGTCCCTGAGCCATATACTCCATCAGGTGAATTCGAGGTTGGGTAAGAGTTTGATGATAAGAAACAGTTGATTAACATGGTTAGAGTGTACTCTGTAAAGAGGAATCAATTTTTTTCAGTTGTAGAGTCTGACAAACACAAATGGGTGGCAGAGTGTAAGTGCAAGAAAGAATGTGGTTGCACTTGGCGGATCCGGGCTACAAAGAAACGTGTGGGGTTGCATATGTTCAAAGTTGTTCGTTATGCAGGTCCTCATATACCTACTTGCCTAGGTAACATCGATAACAGTGACCATGTTGGTATCACATCTCAGTTCATAGCCCGTGAAATTATTGATCTTCTTCGTACTGATCCATCACTAAAAGTCCGCACTATTAGTGAGCTTATGAAGGAAAAGTACGGGTATGTACCTTCGTGCAAATGAAGTTGGTTGGCTAAGCAAAAAGCTATCAGTGAAATATTTGGAGATTGGGAGATTGGGGTACCTTCGTATTCTGCTTTCCCATTTCATGTTGGCATTACAACATTCCAATCCAGGTACGGTTGTGCATTGGTACCCACCTCTTTCAGGTACCAATGAGTTATTAATATCTTTTATTGTATCATATTACATTCCATTTTAAATCCGTCCCACTAATTTTCTCCTTCTTTCAGGTACCACTAGCTTTGTGCGGTTTCAAAGAGTTATTTGGGCATTTAAGCCATCCATTAAAGGCTTTAAGCATTGTCGTCCCTTACTGACCATTGATGGAACGCACTTATATGGGAAGTATAAAGGTACGTTGTTGGTGGCAATGGGTAGTGATGTTAATAATCAACTTTTCCCTTTGGCGTTCGCTATTTGTGAATCAGAGAATGGAGAGAGTTAGTCGTGCTTTATGAGATGCATACGTCATTTTATCACACGCAGAGAATCGTGTGTTATTTCAGATCGACATGCTGGAATTCAGAAGGCACTTAATGAGGTAGGTAGTGGATGGGAGGAGCCAAATTCACGACATAGGCTTTGCATATGGCATGTCGCTTCTAATCTGCATACTCAATTTAAAGACGTTCACTTGAAAAACCTGTTCGTTTGGACAGCAAGTCAACGTCAAAAGAAGAAATTTGATGGTGGATTTAACAGGATTGGCGAAATGCAGGCAGGAGCACGAGAATATCTAGCGAACATTGGTTTAGAGAAGTGATCTTTACATCACGACGGGGGGTACATGTATGGCACCACAACAACGAACATGGTTGAAGTATTCAATAGCGTCATGAAAAGTGCACGATACCTGCCTATAACCGCCTTAGTTGAGTTATCCATGTTAAATCGTCTGAGTACCTTTTGGATATACATAGACTGGTGGATTAATACTCCACAAACTCGATGTTCTAATTCAAGACTTAGACAAAATCGAATTTTCCCAAGGTCTTTCATCTCAAACTCGGATTTCAAATAACTTGCGGTTTCTCTTATTTCGCCAAGAGTGCCGATTATGTTCATGTCGTCGACATATACTGCTATGATTGCAAATCCGGAACTTGTTTTCTTTATGAATATGCAGCGGCAAAGCTCATCGTTCTTGTATCCCTTCCTAATCAAGCAGTCACTTAGGTGGGTATACCACATCTGCCCGGATTGTTTTAATCCGTAAAGTGAGCGTTTCAATTTTATTGCAAACGCACTCCGTGGTTTAGAGTCACTTGATTTAGGTAGTGAAAGTCCGTCGGGTGCTTTCATATATATCTCTGAATCAAGATCCCCATAGAGATATGCAGTAACCATAACCATCAATTGCATTTCCAATCCTTTAGAAACTGCTAAGCTGACTGGGTATCGGAACGTGATAACGTCCATTACGGGAGTGTAGGTCTCCTCGTAGTCAATCCCAGGGCGTTGTGAGAAACCTTGCGCCACTAGGCGAGCCTTGTACCTTAAGACTTCATTCTTCTCAATACGCTTTCTGACAAATACCCCATTATGTCCTACACGCTTTACACTTGGTGGGGTTAGCACTACCAGACCAAATACCTGCCTTTTTGTCACGGAATCTAATTCAACCCGGATTGCTTCTTTCCATTTAGGCCAATCAGCTCTTTGTTGGCATTCTGCCATAGAGCGAGGTTCAATATCATCATGATCTATAATTTCTTGAGCAACTATAAATACAAATATATCATCGATGTGTATGGAAGATCTTTCCATTAGCAGATGTGCATTTTCATAATCCATAGAGATTTCTTTGTTTTCTAGAATCATTTCGATCATCGGAGCGTCCTCCAGTAATCATTCGTGGACATAACTATAATGAGAGATAATCTCATGGGATGGATGTTGTTCGTTGATGATTAATGGATTAGGTTGTGCCGTACTCGTCCTCTTCTTCCTTGGACGAGTATCAATCGAACCAAGTGGTCTTCCTCTCTTCCTTTGAGGAGCCACAGCCTCAACCACACCTCCACTAAGTGTGGTTGCAGTGCCTCCTACTATGGCATTGTGTCCTCCCTTGGGGACTTCTAACTTTGCAGGCACATTTGCAGCTTGTATGTGTGATCTTGTCACTTTTGCAATATCAGAAAATGCATCAGGCATTGAGTCTGCTACATTTTGTAGGTCTATTATTCTTTTCACTTCACTTTCACAGTGTGAGGTGCGGGGATCAAAATGAGACAGTGTAGAAACACACCAGGACAATTCACGTCATTCTTTCGAAAAATCCTTTTTCTTATCTCCCCTGACGACGGGAATGTTGTCTCATCAAAGTGACAGTCCGCAAATCTTGCGGTGAAAAGATCGCCTGTCAAAGGTTCTAGATTGCGGATTATTGTTGGGGATTCGTATCCAACGTATATACATAATCGCCTTTGAGGACCCATTTTGGTGCGCTGTGGTGGCGCAATTGGCACATAGACTGCAAAACCAAATACGCGTAAGTGTGAAATGTGAGGCTCATATCCAGTTACCAACTGGTACGCATAAAATGGTTGGTTCGCAGTGGGCCTAAAGCGAATAAGTAAGGTTGCATGTAATATTACATATCCACATGCAGATATAGGCAAGTTGGTGCGCATAACCAATGCCCTAGCTATCGTTTGTAATCTTTTAATAATAGCTTCTGCGAGACCATTTT